GTAGCAGTAATCACGTGGACTGATCCAACTTTCAATAATAAGATTTGTATGACCATTAGCTAGTATCTATATTTTTCTAGTGTAGATGGTAAAGGTGTAAGAGAGAGCGCCTTAACATTGAAGAAAGAAAAAATGGATAAGAAAATGCCGAAAGAGAATAATGATGTTAACAACTTTCCCTAAAATGCTCCATAATTGAATTAACTATCACCACGTCCCATTTTTTGATCAATTTTAGTAATCTTTAGTGGCTCTTTAAATCGGAATATTCGGAAACATTACAACAGAGGATATTCAGAAGTTTATTCGTAAACATTTATGATCACCAGATTTTCACGTTGATATTCTTTTAGATTAAAAAAATATAAAACTAAATAACTTTTCACAAGAATATGTATAGAATACATAAATTTAAAGGAGCATATGATTCTATTTCTGTGATAATTGACAAAATGTACACAGTCTATTTTATGGTATAGATTCTAGACCAATGTATGTGAATGTGTTATGGTATTTTGCAGTCTTTTACGGCGCCGACAGTTTGTTTTCTCCTTCATCTTACAATTTGACAATTTCGCATTACATATTTTTTCTGCTATACTTTTTTACCATACATTATTCTTATATAAATGAATTATATAAAAATATATCTCCAAATATTTCAGCTAGTTTCTCTCATTTATATTTAGCAGTGGAGAACTTTAGAAAAAGAGGTCCGGTGAATATTGCAAACATTATCTTTTAGTATTTTGGTTATGGACATTGATTCCGGTTTAGTTCGGTTCAGGTACTAATGATGACATTTTCACAAAGAAGAGAAGGGAAAAGTAGAAGAAAAAAAGGTTTGTGGGGCTATGAACCGAAGTCGAGTCTCGAGATAATTATTCTCACATACAATTTTCCTCTAAGATTGTTAATATACGGAGTCTTCTTAGAAATATAAAGTGACAAGACTTTCTTGAAATTCAAGATCATAAAGAATAAAAACATCCATTGAGATATATAAAGTTTCCGGGGGAGATGGGTTAGGTCCAATAAAATATTGAAAGCAAGAATATCAGTGGGGGGGGGGGGAGAATTAGAGATGGGTTGGTTTCATATGAGCATTCACGTGAGAAGGATAATGATTCTTGATGAAAGTTATGTTTTAGAGAAAATAGAATTACTAACAATTGTCACAAACCAAATTGTTCTACATAGATCGATCTCGTTAGAGCAAAAACTTTAAGCATTGAATATTCTGGAATAAATGGAACTTTGAGTATCCAAAAGCCTCAGAAATTTTGTTTGAAACACTTGTATTTCTTGTAAAAAAACCTTTTTTGAGCTCTGGTCCGAAATAATAAACAATTAGTACTCTTAAGAAGGTGATGTTGGATTGTTTGGCTAGCGTACCAGATTACCCCATGTACAAGTCAAGTTCTAGTGATTGTTGGTTGAAGAAAAGAAATGTCATTCTTCTTGCAACATGTATTGTTTGCTAAACATAATTCTAAGAGAGACAAAGTAGATATGGCCGTGACAAGAGAGAAGGAAGCAAAAACTTGGTGTGAACCGAAAAGATAGAAGTCTTCGGTAAGCATCAATGGTAGAGCTTGTTTGTGGAGACATGATGGTCCCCGGAGAACATTAATTGAGTTGAACACATCTCCCTCTCGGTGAACATACTCCGTGGAGCTGGTGAAAAATCAGTAAAAGATTCCCAAGAAATAATAGAGAGACCTCTCATAGTAAACATACATATGGAACAAGCAAACCGGTTGTTGGAACATAAGATTGTTGGTACAACATATATGTATATATTTTCATTTGGTCAACTGAGGAGTTCTGGACTGAAACACATACATTTTTCTAAGCAGAACCGAAATCCCTCTCAAACGAGGTTTGAACCACGGTTTATAGAGTTTTTCTCCTTTTGAAAGCCAATCAAAATTAGTATAAAAGTAACCTTGTTAAAATCTTTTGAGAGGATAAGGAAAATACTCGGGTTAGAGTTTTTAGTGGCTCAATAGTTAAATTAGATTTTTAACATCGAACCAAGAGTTTCTGATTAGTTCAGGTGATTGAATCTTGGTGGAGTTAATTAGATGGTGAACCATGCTAATTAATTATTATGAGATTTGAGCCACGGTTTATAGAGTTTTCCTCCTTTAGAAGCCAATCAAAATTAGCATAAAAGTAACTTTTATAATTAAGATCTTTTGAGAAGATGAGGAAAATACTCGGGTTAGAGTTTTCAGTTGCTCGATAGTTAGATTAGATTCTTAACATCGAACCAAAAGTTCCTGATTAGAATTTTGGTGGAGTTAATTAGATGATCCATGTTGATTAATTATTATGATATATAATAATAAAAAAGACATTTCTCGAAAAACAAGTAGGTCGAACAAAAAGAAAGATGTTCTAACATAAGTAATTTGTGGGACTGTTAGTAATTCGTACATGGATCAATTGTATCTTAAAATTCTTAAAATCACGTTATTCTTAAAATTCCAATTTAAAATTTTTCTCTCAAAAAAATTAGAGACGCGACCGATTTTACACTAATATCAATTGTATATTGTCCACACAGAAAAATCTGAAAATGAGTTAACATATATAATTGCGTTTGAGAAACTCAAGTTTGCGTTTAGATTGTTTAAAGATATTTGTGGGATTAAAATGTTTTAGATTTCCTTCATATGATTTACCGTTAATGACCGTCCAAGTGGATTCTTCAGAGACCGTACAACTCTCCCTCTCTCTCTATTCTTCTTCACGGCGGCGCAATCTCAAATCTCTTAAGAGTCCTCCTCACACGTCTCTGCTTCTCACTCTCTTCTAACCGGAGTTCCGATCCACACCTGGTTGACTCAACCACGACTCGTCGTTCTCTTTCTTCATCTCCTTCCTCGCTAAGCAGCCATGGCGACGCCGTGCCGGACCATAAACGTTAATGCCATCGCCGCACCGTCTCCTTCTGTAATCATCGTCAAATCAAGCTCTCGTCGCTTGAAATTACCGTCGAGGAGGACGACGAGGAGCTCGGGTTTGAGTTTTAGGTCTCAGGGAAGATTGCTCTCTTCGCGCGTCGCCTCTGCGTCTGCGACATCGAGTTCTACGAGTAGATTTGAAGCTTTAGAAGAGGGCATTGAGCAGGTAAAAGGGTTGATTCCAAATTTCATTTTGAATGGGTTGATATATATATCGAGACACAATCTTGCAAAAGCTGAGTTTTTTTTTAGGGATTTGAATTGGTCTCAGTTCATAGTTTAAAGCTGAGATTTTTTTAGGGATTTGAAGGTTAAATGGTCGATTCCTAAATCGATTACAAAATCTTGGAAAAACTGGGTTTTGTAGGGATTTGATGGATGGGTCTGTTCGTAGTTTAAAGCTGAGGTTTTTAGGGATTTGATGGTAAAGGATTCATATTTGAATGGAAAGCTGAGTTTTTTTTAGGTTTAGGGATATAGAGAAACTGACTCAAGTTTCTATTTTTCAGATCATTTATCGATGTCGATTCATGGCGTTTCTTGGAACATTAGGGTCTTTGTTCGGATCGGTTATATGTTTCATCAAGGTAAAGGCATTGCAGATTCTCTCCTTGCTCTTTCTGGTTTAGCTGCAATTAGGTGTGGATATAGACATCGTCAAGACAGCACATTATGCCCTGAGTCTTTGAATCTTTGAAACACATTATACATGATTTCTATTTTGCTCTCTCTTTAACATTTGAATCGGTGCAGGGATGTATGTATGTCGCAGACTCGTTTGTGCAGTATTCTGTGAATCGAGGGAAGGTGATATTACTTTTAGTAGAGGCCATAGGTGAGAGTTTATTTATGTTTTAGATTAAGAACATTATGAGTGTACAAATCTTTTGTTAATGTGATGCTGATGCTATACGAATATTTGTAGATATATATCTTCTAGGAACCGTGATGTTGGTCTTCGGAATGGGACTTTACGAATTGTTCATTAGCAATCTCGACACTTCAGAATCGCTTTCTGTCGAGAATGCTAATAATAGATCAAGTCTCTTTGGAATGTTCACTCTAAAGGTTGCTCTTTTTGTCTAACCCTTCTCCATCTATAATAGATCAAATCTCATTTTTTGGTTCATACTTACGGTTTTTTCTTCTCTAGGAGCGGCCTCAATGGTTAGAGGTGAAATCGGTTAGCGAGCTGAAAACGAAGCTAGGACATGTAATAGTGATGCTACTGTTGATTGGTTTGTTCGACAAGAGCAGGAAAATTGCCATAACTTCAGTCACGGATTTGCTATGTATCTCTGCTTCTATCTTTCTTTCTTCGGCTTGTCTCTTTTTGCTCTCTAGGCTCAATGGTTCACATTGAGTTAATGGTGTTGCCTCAAAACAAAAGAGACTTTGTATGATGTGTATGTGTATAATGTTTTGGCAAATGTTTCACTTTCTCTTTTGTACTTAAGAGTATTGTTTTTCTCTGGCTTTGATTTCTGA